ATATTTCCACAATGTCTCTAATTTTTACAATATTTCCCCTCGACATTTCCGACATATGTCCTATATTTTGGTAAGCGAGATTTCCATCGACATCGACATTTTAAACCTTGATGGCAAGATGAAGAGGTACAAGACAAGGCTGGTAGCAAAAGGGTAATACTCAGACCTACGGTGTTGATTATCTGGAAACCTTTGCACCGGTAGTTAAGAAGAGTTCAGTTCGTATCCTTTTATCTCTATCAACCATCTATTCATGGCCTTTGTTCCAGCTTGATGTCAAAAATGCCTTCCTCAATGGTGATTTACAGGAGGAGGTATATATGGACATTCCAACAGGCTTTTATGAAAATTTGGTAAGGGAAAGGTGTGTAGACTCAGAAAATCTCTGTATGGACTGAAACAGTCACCTAGGGCTTGGTTTGACAGGTTCAGAGGGGCACTCATCCGTTTTGGGTACACACAAACACGGTCTGATCACACTTTCTTTGCGAAGAGGAGAGATGTTCTAGTGTCAATTCTAATTGTGTATGTGGATGATATAGTGGTGACAGGAAATGATCTGGAGGAGATTGATGATCTCAAAAAATCATTGCAGCAAGAATTTGAGATCAAATATCTTGGTGAGCTTAAATACTTCTTGGGGATTGAAGTTGCAAGATCCAAGCATGGAATCTTTATTTTACAGAGGAAGTATGTATTTGACCTATTATGGGAGACTAGGAAGCTGGGGACCAAACCAGCAGACACTCCTATTGATCCAAATCACAGAGTTAATGGTGTGGATGGTGAGTTGGTAAAGGATGTAGGGAGATATCACAGAATGGTGGGCCGGTTGCTGTATATGTGTATGACACGACCAAATATTTCTTATGCTATCAATGTTGTGAGTCAGTACATGCATGCACCTCGGGTTTAACACTGGGAAGCTATTGAGAGGATACTTGCATATCTAAAAAAGCACCTTGGCAGAGGCATTCTTTTCTCAAATCATGAGAATTTGAAGCTAGAGTCCCATACAGATGCAGACTGGGCAGGATGCTTAGATGACAGGAGGTCTACATTAGGAGTGTGTACCTTTGTAGGTGGAAACTTGATCTCTTGGGAGAGTAAGAAGCAAGCGATTGTGGCAAGGTCAAGTGCAGAGGCTGAGTATAAATCCATGGCTCATGGTGTCTCAGAACTTCTTTGGGTTAGATCTCTTTTGAGTGAGATTGGTGTGAAAGCAGAGAAACCTATGATGTTATACTGTGACAACCAGGCTGCAATCAATATTGCCTATAATCCAATTCAGCATGATAGGACAAAACACATTGAAGTTGATAGACACTTTATGAGAGAAAGGGTAACAATTGGAGAAGTCTGTTTGCCTTATGTCTCTTCAGAGTTGCAGCTGGCTGATGTTCTCACTAAAGGGGTGGCAAAGAACAAGCTTGAATATGATCTATGCAAGTTGGGAATGTGTGACATTTACTCCCAACTTGAGGGGGAGTATTGAAGAGTAATCAGTTTTATGATGATTTTTATGAGTAGATGTTTTATGTTAGTTGTTAGATAGGAGGTGGGGACTACAGTAGTTATGTGAGTCCAAATTTTATTATGTTTTTGTGTCTTATATATGCTGTTTTATGTCTTGCCGCCCTATAAGGGCATAGTTGTCTTTGGACTGTTCTATTATTTTAATATAAATAATAAGTGAAGGGGGCAGCCAGATTATTGTTCTCCTTTCTTTTCAACTTCTCTTCTTTTGCTTCTCTCTTCCTTCTTTCTTCAAGAAACTCCTATTTCATATTTTTTAATTCAGCAAGCTTTCTACTGTTTTAAGATTAATTGGTTAAATGGACAATTGGTGAAAAAAAAGGTGGCAATTAGTTGAATTGTTACCTATGGTGGTTGTCTGATTTGCTGGCAATAGTCTGGAGTTTGTGAAAATATTAGGTCTACAATGACTTTTGGGTTTCTGTGTTGGAGAGTTTCTAGGCTTTACTATTTATTCCTGAAGCAGTGTGTAGTCTGGTTTTCAAAGTAATTCATTATCTACTATTCTTGATGTAGTTTGTTTTGCTAGTTAGAATATCAAATTCTATGAGTGCAATGAGGCTGTGTCTTTTAATCAGTATTCTTTTACTCTCTGACCGTTTTTGTGGAGTCATTTCAGTTTTAATTCATATACCTAAAGGGAGTTTCATGGTAGACACTTAAGGGCATTTCTTTCTTGGTCAATCCTCAAATACAAGACTGCTTGCTGCAGAGTTGCAGGATTTTGCCACTAGAAAATGAGTGCATTGAGTTAGATATTGTAGTCCTATCTATGTCCTTACCTCCCATGTTTTCCAATATTTGACCATGAAACTTAGATATTTCATCAAGATTATTATCTGTTTCAACCTCTTATTAAGGTGGTTCAAGATCAGCATACTCTTTTTTTTTTTTCTCATTGTTATGCTACAGAGGGTGTAAGAAATATTGGATTGTATGAACTGTTAAACATTTTGTATTGGGTTAATTCTTAAACTACCCTTATGGTTTAGCTAATTGACTAAGTGTACCCTTACTGTTTGAAAATTGACTAACACTACCTCCACTGTTTCTGACAATTGATTAAGTCTACCCTCACCGTTAACTTTCCGTTATATATAATACCATGTGACTAATATATTGATAAAAAATTCCAAAAACACGCTTCCCACCTCCATTCCTAAAAATACCCTCTCTAGCTGTTGTTGGAGTAGTTTCTGCTCATCTTTGCAGCTGAAACTAATTTGAAATTCAAGAGAGAAGAACTAGAGGATAGAGAATCATGGACGAAAAAATCGCACCGGCCATCAAACCAACTCTCCACGAAGACGATGAGAACAATTTGAACAATGTTTTTTCCACCAATAAAGACCATGGCTGGTAGAAGGTTACCTATGCCAAACGCCAGCGAAAGAACAAACCCTTTGATTCTGTTGGCGATCCCAGCAAATTCCGCCCCAATGTAGTCATTGTTGGAAACAACCCCAACGTTTTTCAGTCTCTCGAAGAACAATCCAAGGAGCGCTGCCGCCGTGTCGAGGCTCAGAAGGCAGCCGCTGCTGCGGCTCTTTCCCAAACCAAAACATCATTCCAATGATGATGGCGATGACAGCGATAGCGAGGTTGCTGGTGGTGGCGAGAATGTGGCCAATGAAGTGAAAAATTCAAGCAGAAAAAGCCCAAGAAGCCCAAGGCTACTGTTGCCGAGGTGGCTTCCAAGATCAATGCTTCTGATCTGGCAGCACACCTTCTGATAGGGAGACACGAGGTGGTGAGAGAGTACCAAATCTGCCACTGCAAGTTGCAATGGCAGTGGCGGAACAGAGAGTGAAAGAGGTGGGGAGAGAGAAAAAGAGAGGAGAGAGAAAGAATGAAAGGTAGAAACGAGAGGTGGGGAGAGAGTACCAAATCTTGCAGCGGCGGTGGCGGAACAGAGAGTGAAAGAGGAGGGGAGAGAGAAATAACGAGAAGAGAGAATGAGAGATAGGGATGAGAGGTGGTGAGAGAGTACCAAATCTTGCAGTGGTGGTGGCGGAACAGAGAATGAAAGAGGAGGGGAGAGAGAAATAATGAGAAGAGAGAGAATGAGAGATAGGGACGAGCGGTGGTGAGAGAGTATTGCAGCGGCAGTGGCGGAACAGAGATAGTGAAAGAGGAGGGGAGAGAGAAAAAGAGAGAAGGAGAGAGAAATAGCGAGAAGAGAGAGAGAGAGAGAGAGAGGTGGCGGGAGAGAGAAGTACCACTTGCAGTGGTGGTGTCTGAAACAGAGGCTTGCAGCGGCGGTGTCTGAAACAGAGGAAGTGAGGACACTTGCAATGGGAAAGAGAAAGTACCACTTCCAGCGGCGGTGCCTGAAACAGAGGCTTGCAGCGGCAGTGTCTGAAACAGAGGCTTGCAGCGGCAGTGTCTGAAACAGAGGCTTGCAGCAGCGGCGTCTAAAACTCGTTCATCTCTGGCTTGTTTCCATTGTATGAGGACACTGGTTCACTATTCCACCGCCTCGTGCTGCAAAACATACACGACGTAGGAAAGATACTCGTTAGTCACCAAGGTTTTTCCAACCCCAGCTGCCTATAATTTTGCTTGAAAAAATATTCTGTGTAGTTTCTCTTGGGCAGCCATCCAAGCAATGGATTTTTTCAGTCATTATTAGTTAGTTCCAGCTATACGTTAGATCAATTTGTTCCAACTAGATTGGAAAAACTTTTTAATGTGGGATTTAACCAATAGCATGATCAAATTTATTTTTTGTCATGGACCTCTCTTGGGCAAGTTTTACCACCATTATTTCTTGTTTTAGCAGTTTAATCTGAGTTGAGGTTTGATGCTGATTGCTGCCTTGATCAGTTTTTGTTGGGTTGCTCATTGCTGACTTTTTTTGTCCTTTTTTCTTTTGCATGGAAGGATCTGTTGATACGTGATCTCGGTTAGCTTTTGAACAAGAAAGCTAGAAGCAATGAAGCCAGTAATAGGAATGGTGGTCTCAAACAAAATGCAGAAATCCGTGGTTGTGGCTGTGGATCATCTCTTCCATCACAAACTCTACAACCGTTATGTCAAAAGAACCAGTAAATTTATGGCACATGACGAGAACAATGAATGCAACATTGGTGATAGAGTAATACTGTTACTTTCTTTTCTTAGCAACTCTGTTTCCTGAAGTCTGTACTGAAATGAATGTTCAGTAAATGCCTCTTAGCTACACAAAGTGCTATAGTGTTCTTGTAACTATTTCCTATTGTCTATTTTTTCTTCTGCAAACTGAGAATTGGCTTAAAAAGATTTCTTAACAATTGACTTATACTCACGACTTACATTAAGAATGTGTCACTCCCACGAAATATACAATATTCTTGTAATTAACTGTATATTGCAGCTGTGCTTTCTTAAATCTATTCTTCATTTGTTAGTCGTAATTGATAAAATCTTTATGTTATTTCGTTCAAGAATAAGAAACATCAATAGCAAAAACTTGTAGTGGTTTTCCATTATTCTACCAAGTATACACACTTAACAAGAAGTATTGTATGTTAATTTACTATGCAGAGTAGAGTCTTGTAGACGTGGGCTTGGATGGCAAGCTGCAAAGTTGAGTTCAATCTTGAAATCATTGTATGAATATTGATTCCAATGAAAGATTTAATACAAATCCGAGGCATGATGAAATGGATTATGATAATGTATTGAAGGTTGAAGAGCCAGAATTTTGAGAACTTTGCTTATCACAAAGAGTTCCTATGTTGTCTTTCTTTTGTTGTGTAGTTCCTCAATGGAAGGAATTGCTTCATTAAAAGAAAGTTAGCTAGGTGGTCACAAGGCCACAGGGACATGCCTTTACTTGGTAGATGAAAATACAAAACACAAGGAGGCAAAAAGAAGGTTGAAAGGAATGCTTAAGCTCTAACATCCAGGTTGAACATCTTGTTGGGGTAGATTTAGGGATCAATGATCTCCTTGGCTGTTGCTTCCAAATAATGGTGTTGGTGGACTTGATTTGTGTTTTGGGGGCCTTACTCTCAACTTAGCTTCTTGTTGTATGAGTGTAAGAGTATGAAGTTATGCACCACTATTATAATAACATAGGCCAGCAACAGACAGAACAACTACCGCGGTAGTATGATTACAATGCAACAGCGGTCATCTCCCTTATACACAGAGAACTGTGGAGCACCCTATTCAAGTGAGACGGACCACAGTTCTCAGACACTAGGCGAAAACAAAGACAAAGCTGCGGAACAAAGGTAAACTACGAGGGTGTGGCACAAAAATAACGCCCACAAGCGACAAAAACGCTGTATAGGTGTTCTGCATGTGACATGTGGTAGGATAACGGAGGTGAAGGCCATTGCAGGCTGCCCAAACTGATAATTGGTCCCCATACCCTGGGATTTGATGTGTGTCCCCATCAATTCAACCTGGACCTGGATGTATGACCTAAGTGCCTTGATAATATTCCAGAATTTCTCAGTCCATGCACGAATGTGCCCTCCACTTCTATAAATAGTAACCCTTCTGGTGGAGAAGGGACTTATTCATTCATTCATTCCCCATCAGTTTTCTTTCATCTCATTCTGCTGGTCACTCTTCCCTGGACCAAACCCTAATTTTCCATCTTCACCTCAATTTTGGAGCCAAGACCACCATGTCCATAGTGTTACAATGAGAATGGACCATAGTGTGTGTAATGGTTCTCTTACGAGGCTTGAAACCAACAGTGCAACTAGGAGTTAGAGAGATGGAAGTAGAGGGAGACTCAATGTTGGTTATTTCATGGGCTAAGCAAATCAGCTCAGCCCCTTGGAAATATAGATTTTTTTTCATTGAAACTGGTTTTCTTGCAAAGAGTTGTAACTCTAGTTTTTTCTAGGTAAAAAGGACAGCAAATGGGTTGGTAGATATCCTAGCAACAGGGAGCTGATAGATCCACCTTATTTTGGGCAATGTTGTAGTTTGTAGTAGTAAAAAAGGGGGCTGAGAAACCAAAGTAGTGTAGCAAGCTATATTTTGATGATTTCTGGGCTACTTAGTAGCTAAAACCTTTGTATTTTGTCTCAAATATTAATAAATGAATTTTATTTTGTTGATAAAAAAAGAAATTGATGGTTTACCGCCTGTTTTTTCTCCTTTCATCAGGTATGATGCTTGCTTGGGTAATAAAGTTCTTTTTTGGGAGGACATTTGTATTGGGGACTCTCCTCTTATGGATAGGTTCCCAATCATCTATTCCCTCTTTGAACTAGTTTAAAGCCATTTCTTCCTTTCATGTCTTTGGGGACTCTCGGGATCTAGGTTTAAGGAGAGGTTTTAGGGACTTAGAAGTGGGCGTGGTAGATGAACTTGTTTCTCTTTTAAGCTCAGTGTATTTGAATCAGTCTTGTCTAGATAGTAGAATTTGGTCAGAGTCTTCCTCAAGTTATTTCTCTTGTTCTTCCTTTTTCAATGCTCTGTTGAACTCTACTAATGTGTTTTCCTCTTTCCTTGTTAAAGAAGTGTGGTGTGCTCCTGTGCTTCCGAAGGGGAGGGTTTTCTGTTGGGCAGTGGCTCTCCAAAATCTTAACACTTCGGATGTGCTTCAAAGAAAGAGACCAAATTGGTGTTTATCCCCGCTTGTCTGTAGCCTTTGCTTGAATGGTGGTGAGATGGTGAATCATCTATTAATCTCCTGTTCTTTTGTAACTCATATCTGGGAATGGTTCTCCTCTCTTTTTGATTGTAGGTGGATTCTTCCCTCAAGTGTCGTGGACCTTTTTGACTATAGTTTTTTCTGACAGCCAAAGAAGAGGGGAAGGGTGATATGGAGGACATCGAGAGAAGCTATTATTTGGGCAGTTTGGAATTAGAGAAATAACAGGATTTTCCAAGGGCAAGAAAAAAACATTACTTGAACTTATAGAAGGGATCACCATCAAGGCCATACATTGATTGAAAACTTCGGAGCTCTTCAAGGACCTTTCTGTAGATGACTTGCTTAGATGATGGAAAACAGTAGCGGGTTCCTCCAGTTCTTCTCCTACCATTTAAGAGGATTGGTCCCCTCTTTTACAGCATAGTGTGAAATTGAATTTTGATGGCAGCTCTATAGGCAATCCTGGTCCCTCTGAGATTGGGGGTGTTTTTAGAGATGTGGAAGGAAGATTATTTGCCCTTTACTCTGGCCCAATAGGGGTGGGTGACTCACTAAGAGCAAAAGTAATTGCACTCATTCAAGGGCTCAGATTGGCTAAACAGTTGGGATTTCATCACTCATTCAAGGGTTGTAGGTTGGATGCAAACAAATAGTTTGGGCACTTGGTCCCTTGGACAACATGTAAGGGGAATGGTGAACCTAACAAGGGAGCTTGGAGCTGTTATGGACGCATTGGTGGGGAAGAAGTACCGCCGCCGGCAACAGCAGTAACGTGGGACCCTCACCAGATTATCTAGCTAGCCACAGTTCATCTTACCTTATCCTTATCTTATCTGCTTTCTTACTCTTATCTTATCTGTAAGCAGTTTAGTTAGTCTTATCTAGGAGTCTTATCTATCTTATCTGTAAGCAGTTTAGTTAGTCTTATCTAGTTGTCTTATCTATCTTATCTGTAAGCAGTTTAGTTATCAAGGAGTCTTCCTACAAGGAGGACTCT